CGTGATACAGCCTCCAATTCGGTACTATATGTTTGCCGATGACGTCAAGTTCGTAGTGTCAGTGAGAGACGAGTCAGATCGGGACGGGTTACAGGCTACTCTGGATGATTTTGCAGTCTGGTCGGAAAGGATGGGACTCCGATTGTCTCACTCAAAATGCTCCGTTGTTCATTTCGGCACGGGAAATCGTAGATTCCGGTACACTCTGGGCTCCGTCGAGCTGGGTCAGATGCATACGCAGAGGGATCTAGGCGTTCTGTTCTCGGTAAAATTGGACTTCAGAGACCACATTGAAATTGTCGTCCGACGGGCATCGATCATCACATCCTGGATTTTCCGCTCTTTCGTTCTCAAGAGTCCTCCGGCATATCTTAGGCTTTACACCTCGCATGTTCTGCCGATCCTTCTATACGCGAGCCCAGTCTGGAATCCAATCGATAAAGGCAGCATCGGGAAGATTTCACGAATGCAGAAACGATTTCTCCACCGAGTTGAGCACAGGTGTGGCATCGAGAGGGGCACTCTGGAGATTGTGGATATACATGACCGCATGAAAGCGGCTGATTTGAAGGCGTTGAGGAAACTGATGAAATGCGATGAGTCGTTCGATGAATTCTTCATATACTACAGACCATGCCGACGAGAAGAGGATTCAATCTGAGACCACATGAGATTGCCCGATCGAAGAAACTGAAGCAACACTTCGCGTGGAGAGTTGTCGACATGATCAACGAACGATAATCACGTGTTCTATGTTAAGATATACCTTTGTTGCACAAATGAGGAGTTTTCCCATTAAAAAATAAAAAAATACGTAGAGGAGGGATGCATGATTTGGTGGATTCCGTTCATAATGACAATGACACAACTCTCTCTCTATTGTAAATGCCCTACGCAGGATGCCTGCTTATTTGTATTTAACTTTCCTGCAGGTATGATACAATGATTCTGGTGAGGTAATGCGGGAAAGCTCTGTCCCGCACTTTGTCTATGACGATGTTCCAGCGGATCGAATTGAATGCATTCTTAACGACGGGGGGATAATCATGCATCTCTTTCTTTTCGCCCGAGGTCTTCTCTGCTCCTTCTCGACGTGGTCAGAGACCATTTGCAGAGCGCTCATGGTAGACCTCCCTCCTCTGAACCCAAACTGGCTGTCTGCTAAGCCTCCGCTGTCATCCAAGAAGTCCTGCAATCGGCGGTTTATGACACTTTCGACCGCTTTCGCAGTCGTACCGAGCCAGACACATTGGCCGAAAAGCACCCCTTTCTGCCGGGTTTCGG